TTTTCTTATAGTTATTTTTCGAAAACCCTATTCCTAATTCATCTATTTTCGAAAATCCCCAATTCCCAAACCCTAATCTTTCTACTTAAGGTTCTCTAAGGCTCTCTGCAAATAGAACAATCTTTTTCAAACAAAAGTTAAGAGTTGTGATTGCCAGAGAACTTTTTGTTAGAGGAAAAATGGGCTTTTGAAACCTAGTGTGGGCTAGAAGCGATAAGAATCACTGAGTGAGTTTTCTTGGTGGATTGTGTGTTGTGTCATCTCTAGGGAAAGTTGTTCTTCATCCTTTGTGGATTCAAAGGAGGTGTTCATCTCTTGTGTGACTCAAGAGAGGTGTATTCTTTACCTTATCTTTTCAATTTGTAAATTGTTTGAAACTTGTGATTATAGTGACAGCGTTAATCCTCTGTTTGAGTGATTAGCAACTGGACGTAGGGTCTTTTGATCCGAACCAGTATAAATCGACTGTGTAATCTTCTATCCCTTCTCTATTTACTTTACACAGCATTTTAATCGGTGAAATTTGGGAAAATTTTTAAAATCCTAATTTTTGTTAAGAAACCAATTCACCCCCCCCTTTGGTTTTTTGTCCGTAGAACGCAAACATTCGCTGCACGATTCTAACAAAAATTTTCTCTCAAACTCCATGTTTAAAAGCATGTAATTGTTTAAAAAAAATTAAGATCTAATAAGAAAAAATAAGTAATATAAAAATAAATAATTTGAATAAACCTACCTAATAATGAATGGAAAGCGATAAAACAAATTTTAGTGTAGGTTCAGATGAAAGGAGAAAATTAGAGTAAGAAAATAAATTTGAATGTTTCAAAAAGTGAAAAAAATAATATTATTATTTATAATTCAAAAGCAATTGTTTAAGTAAGTTTTATCTTACTTAAACAGAAAAAGACATTCATTGTTGTTTAGGTAAATGTTTTGTCAAGTTTAAAACAAATGTTATGCCAAGATTAAGCTACAATTATATCATAACTATAACTTAAGTAAAAGTTTTGTTTGGTTTAAACGATAAGTACATTCACCACTATCACATAAGTCAAAGTTTTGTCTAACTAAGTGATAATATTTTCTAAGATAAGTGAGATATTGAACATGCTTAAGTGTGGTTGAATCTATTTTTAAAATTTTACTAAGTTATAATGACTTGAATGAGTTATAGGTGGTTGAAGTAAATGTTGTTGCATCTAACACATAATTTAAAAAAATAATATTTTAATAAAATATTAATTTAAGCGAGTTTATTATCGTCTAAGCAAGAGCACAATTTATAACATACCGCTTAAGCGTGAAACATCAATTCTTTAAGTAAGTTTGTAATATGTGTAATCCCTTTAAGTAAATATATCTTACTATCATATTTCTTTCAAAAATTAGATATATATATATATATATATATATATATATATATATATATAAGATAATACTGTGCCACAAATGTAAAAAAGATAATTAGAGTTATGAAGTATGATTTTTCCATGTTTTGAGATTGACCATAATAGGAAAATTATATTGATATTAAATTTATTCTAGAATTATTTTTCATGATTTTGATCCTATTTCATGCAACAAATAAGGGTCAAAGTGAAATCTTATTAAAACTATTAAGTACAAACATTTAAAAGGAGAGTCACTTAAATTATCATCTAAGTTATTAATTCACAATTAAGTGATTCTTAGTTAAGTTATTGTTAATACACCATTTCTAAAAATATAAAATTTTGTGACGAAGATTTGTAATGAAAATAAATGTCACAAAATATCACAAATTATGTGACAAAACTATTTATTATGGGACAAATAGATTTTAAAAATATTTTGTGACAAAAATATTTTATCAATAAACTTTTGTCACAGAAGACAACATAAATTTCAATAAAATTATATTAGTGACAAATTTTACGGCAAAGTCACTATGCATCCATCACAAATATCATTACAAAATTAACTTCCTTTAAGCTATCTTAATTTCGCTTCAAGTGATTATGTCGTACAAAATATTGTTTTAATGAAATAGTTTTTGCTTAGGACAATAAAAATTATCTCATATTTTTGTTACGAAAAAATAATTTATCCCAAACTATTTGTATCAAATTCACCACAATTTCCGTAACAAATAATATTTTATCATTTCTAATTAATATTATTTGAAATAATATACTTTTAATATTAAGAATTTACTTTTAACATGAAAGTTGAATATAAAATGTTAAAACTGTATTAAAAATTTGAATTATTTTTTATAATAATGTGACATGTAAAAAATATTTTAACTTACAAAAATATATATTAAAGATTTTTTTCAAATTAAAAATATTATATTAATTGAAAATTTTATGTTTATTTTATTTACAAATAAAACATTATCTATAAAATATTAATACATTTAAACATTAATGGTAATATTCATAAAAAATGTATCTTTAATAGAAAAACAAAATTTAAAAAGAATTTTAATGAGTAAGACTCAGATGTAATATAAAGTTAAACAATTAAATAAGTTAGTTGGCTGAAAAATATCTTAACAAAAATGTGTAACGCCTATTTTTATTACAGTTTAAATATGTTCAAAAGTTGTCACTAATAGTTTTGTGACGATGTTAAGCTTATTTTGTGATGGTTAAATAATTATTTTTTGTAGTACTTAAAAAGTCATGGTTGGATGTTTAAGTCCAAATTTTCTTCTAAATTCAAACTCCTTTACAAGTTCAATTTTGTGCACAATTTCAAGAAGAATATAAATCAAATAACAACAAATATTTATTTATTATATATTATTTGTATATCTTTTAAAATATTACTTTTTTATGTTTATTTTTATACTTTCATATCAAATAATTTGTTGACAAATATTTATCATGTAATATTTTTATATTTATTATATTATATGAACTTATATTATTATATTTCATTTAAAATTACAAATTAAAAATACAAAATATATTTTAATTTGTATTGCCATTGCTTAAAATTTAAAATATTCACTTAAAATTTACTTTGTTTAAGTCACTTATATTTTTGTTTAAGCTAGACTCGTTTAAACAATGACACATTTCAAATACATGTGTTACAAATTTTGTCATTTCAAGTCATATAGATTACACATAAGTGGAGCTTGCCTAA